CACTTCAACCAACATGGTGTTTCTGCCCAGAACAGGTCTGGGTGTGAAGGTCTGTCTGCACTGGGGGCAGCTGTAAACTCCAGCATGATCCTCCTGATCCCAGCAGCTCTTAATGCATCTCATACAGTAACTGTGTCCACAGGGAATAGCCACTGGATCCTTCAGTAGATCCAGACAGATTGGACAGTTGAACTGGTTCTGATCCACTGCGACACTGACTTCTGCCATTTTACCATGAAGACTGATAGGGTTCCGTTTTGTTTTCACTCACAGTCATCTGTGTGTGAGAGTGGGAGGAACTTCCTGCTTCTCAGGCTGCAGTAGGTGTGGTTTTGGATTGAGACCAGACTGAGAAGAGCAGACTGGGCAAACATTGGATTTCAAGTTTATGACTAAAGTAGTACTTCATACAAATTTTGTACCTAACAAACTCAATTTTTATCTGTCTTATTTAACTGTTACTGACATTTTTTCCACAAACAAGGTATAATCCAAACATATAATGTTGTAGATAAGAATTAGGTAAAATACAAAAAGGTAGAAGCGAGTATAGTTTGTTTTGAGGCTTGTCATTCGTTTGTTTTTTTACTCCAGATTAAGCAAAAAGCTGATGGGTTTGAAGCTGTCATGTAGTAGCAGGTGTAACATGCAGGTGGAATTACCAAGTTTAGACAGAGCAAGGTTTTGCAGGTACTGATCTAGTAATCCATAGATTTGACTTTTACATTGTTCAACATTTAGGATTTGTTCATTATGTTTGTGTGTGTATAGTGGGGCTGTATCTGTTTTCGGAAGGAGAATCAGGTCACCAGGTTCAAAGTGATTATTAATATGCTATCAGAGGGTTTTCTATGATTTCTAGGATGTAATAATGTAAATTAATTCTAGAAAATCACTGCACATTGCAGCTCCACCAGCAGCAGCAGCAGTTGGTGCCGAGGGCAGGGCGGCGTCAGCAGCTGCAGGCACCGGGGTCACAGGGGGCGAAGCCGCAGGCACATCGGGCGTGCGGCCAGCAGGGGGCGCCGCAGGAGCAGGAGACGACACAGGCGGCTCTGGGGGCGTCGCAGGGCGCTCAGGAGGTGCAGAAATGGCCTCGGGCGGCGGGTCAACAGGGGGCGCCGCAGGAGCCACAGACTCAGCACCAGCAGGGGGCGCTACAGGTACCTCTGGGGGCTGAATGGGGATCACAGGGGCCTCGGGAACCTCAGAGGGCAGTGGTACAGCAGGGGCCGCGTCCTCCTCTGGAGGGGCCAGCTCCGACAGCAACCGGAGCAGCTCCCTCAAGGTCTCCTCCGCCCTCTCCAGCTGTTGAGGTGGAGCCGCCGGAGAGATGGCGGCGAACTCCCTCCGGAGCTGCTCCAGGAGCGCAACTTCTTCTTCTTCCGCGCTGTTGCAGCGAGACCAGGTACCGCGGGAGCCGGCTTCGGTCGCCGGTCAGCATCCGGCCAGTACAGGCTGGGGTTGCAGAATGCATAGTTTGCCGGGATCATCCTCGGCACCCCGGGAAGATCCTCCCACAGTTGTTTCGCCGGCGAAGTACCTGGTCTTGGTTTCGGGAGTCCGGACATTCGGTCATGATCCACGGGGAAGCAGGCGACAGATGCCGTGAATATAAACAAAAGGGTTTTATTTCCGGGACGACACACTGCAAGACACACGTAACATTACAATGACCGGACTGGGGAAACAAACGGAAACGCGGACTAAATACAATGAACTAATGACAACAATCAGAAACAGCCGTAAAACACTGGGAATCCACATGAGGTTAACGAGGGGGCGTGGCACATGAGAGGAGTGGACGATCGGGGCATGACACTTATAATGCTTTATGAATGCATTGTAATGTGTTATGAATGTGTTCATAGATTCTTATAAACATGGCGTTTACAGAAAATGTCACCAAAAATTCCTATCAACTAGTGATGTCATAGCTTAACGCATTACTCACACGTCTGTCGTTTAGGCTATACCATATAGTCTAGGTGTGTAGTAGGTTGTACCATCTATGTTTGTATACTCTATGATATTCGCACAACAACGAAATCACCTAGTGACGCATTTCTCAGAACATCTCCCTGTCATTAAGCAATACATAACTATACAGTACTTTATTTTCAATAACTATTTTGACTAAAGAAACTAAACTTACAGGATGGACCAGTTTCTCCACTATTTCTCTAAGCAGGCATGATTTCCGTGCCTGCAAAGCAGACATTCTATAAATACCTGTGTAAAGACTCATGTCATATGTTTCACATCCAAACATATATTTATGTTTTCTTTCTATAGCCTATGTTTCATAAATAATTTTTGAAAGTTTTTGGCCTGACCTGTATATCTGCACTTCCTGTAGCAGCTGAGACTGTATCCTGGCCTCTGTTCATCCATCGTACAGAGATAACAGGGTATCTGCTGTACACACTGCTGGTCAGTAAGGCAGTAGGACCTCCAGGGGTTTGTCATGGTAGGAACAGACCTTGTGTTGAAGTTGGCTGATTGCATCAATTAGCTTGTTTTGTTTTCCAGCGTTTGGTGATGTACTGTGTTGAAGGCTGCAGAGAGGTCTAGCAGGACCAGGAAAGATGACCGAGCAGCAGCTCTCACGGCTCACAGAACATCCAGAACTTCCAGGATGGCGGCCTTAGTCTCGAGGTCTGAAGTCAGACTGGAATGGGTCCAGGAGGTTGTTCTGTTTGAGAAATTCAGAGACTTGACGGGATGGCACATTGAAGAGTTTTAGATATGAAACAGAGGAGAGACTGGTCAATAATTTTCAATCTTTGATCAGGTGCAATTGTGGACTTTTTAAGCAGTGGTGCAATACAAGTCTGCTGAAATGTGGCGGAGATTATGCTGGTTGTGAGTGAAACATTGACGAAGTGAGTGAGTGCAGGGGTTACTGTAGAAGACATGCTGGGGAGGAGATGGAGGGAGAGGGCCCAGGGTATAGGCGGTGGCAGTGCTGGTGTCAAGGGGGGGCATTTGAAGGCATTGCCCCCCTTAGCGAGTCGCCACGCCCCCCCTACACTTGCTCCAGCACCCACCACCACAGGCTCCAAAATATTCATTTTTATATCTAATTATTTTTCAGATATTAATCGTGTAAACATTCACAAAATTAATAAAGAGCAGTTTCAAATATTTTTTGTCATATTATAGATTCACTTGAAAGAATGTAGGCTAGTTGGTGCTGATTGGTTGTTGCTTTGGTGCGGCATTTGACTTTCGCACGGAAAATATGATA